TGCACTAATCAGAATATATATATATTCTGATTAGTGCAAAAAAATCACATGATGCCAGTCCAACTGGCAGGAGGTGGATGCCAAGGTGTGATCAGCAGCAGTGTCATAGGAGCCAGAGGAGATTTGACCTTACATCAGAGTGGCTGAAGGCTAATTGCTCCCTAGGAATAGCCTGCTTTCTATGCTCGGCCCCTGTGGCTAAACCTTGCTGAATGGGTGTTATTTAGCAACAAAGATGGGCAGCACCTCTGTAGTCTCTGCTGCTGAGGAGGCTAATAAAACAGGGCTTAAAGGATTGGATTATAGATTGGGGTCAGTATTTTGATGTTGTTTAGTGCAACCTCTACAAAGTCAACAAAAGGGCTGTTCAGAAAGGCTCAAATGATTTGTCTATAGATGTACAGAACATACATGAAACAAACACTATAGGGAGAGTTGTTGTAGTCCCGTTTTGTAATTAAACAGTGCATGTCTTCTGCCCTTCACTTCACAGGCTCTTTTGCTATGACCTGATGCCCACCAAACAGTGAGCAAAGCTTGCACTGCAGACAAGGACAACGGAATAGGGAAATTAAATTGCACTGACAGGCAGTGATTTACATACACCAACTCCCTCTTCTTGCAAATTAATCACCTCTTTCCCTCAGCTGTTTTTCTAATTTTTTTTGTCTGCAATTCTGGGCACACCAATTACAGTGCCTGTGGTGTGATGGTGGATCCATGGTTGGGAGGACATGCTGGTAATTGCGTTAACCCTGGACGTGGGTTCACTCTGGAGCAATGTTGTGGAGTTTAAGACAGAAGGAGGCTGTCCTCCCTCTCTGCTGGCTGCTCACCAAAGTCATGATTAATTAGTCTTACAAAACAATACTTGAACTGCAGTGGTCTGGCTAAGGCGCTGTTTGTTAATTATTATAAAACATTCATACGCTGTGTGTTTCTATTGCCCTTTTTTTACGTAACTGCAGTATTTAAAAAGTGGCTCGGTGGTGCATTTCAAGTCATGGTGGATCTGTAAACCTATCAG